CACAATAAGATTCTTCCCTCTTACCTTGCAAATCAACTTGTTATTAATTCAAATGCTTCCCAATTTGCCTCACCTGGATCAAGAACACAATTACTAATGCAAAGTAAATGTATATTCAAATAAACTTTCCATATCCCTGTTGTGCTGACTTTTCATCTTTTTTCATCTCTTGTTTTTCTTGTCTGTAAAGAGGGGTCCTAGTCACTCCTATCCCACAGTTTGTTAAGAAAATGTCCCTCATTCTAGTGTTGTTGAATTTATTTGTTTAGTACTGGGGATTGAGCCCAGGGGCACTTTACCTTTGAGCTACATCCCCAGCTCTTTTTTTTAACTTTAAAGCAGGGTTTCAGTAGCTGGGCATGGTGGTGCATGCCTGTAATCCTAGCAGATCAGGAGGCTGAAGTAAGAAGACTGCAAGTTCAAAGCCAGCTTCTTCAATTTAGCAAGACCCTAAGCAACTTAGTGAGACTCTGTCTTAAAAATAAAAACTAAAGTGGCTGGGAAAGTTGCTCAGTGGTTTAGCACCTCTGGGTTCAATTCCAGGCACACATGTGTACACACACACACACACACACACACACACACACACACACACACATAGGTTTTCACAGTTTTCCAAGGCTGCCCTTGAACTTGCAATCCTCCTGTCCCAGCCTCCAGAGTCACTGGGACCAGGCTTGTGCCACCATGCCTAGCTCATATTCCAGTTTTGATCTTTGACTACAGACAGATTTTAATCCCTACTTTGCAAATCACATTCTACTCTCCAGAAAACCTCAGTATGTGTCATAAATATGTTCATAATCTCTTGGAGCATATATGGTATCATTAGGCTCAAGATCTAAATCAAATTTGAGCATAGCTGTAGGGTTGATAGGTATTAGTACAGTCAGCAGGTTGTTTAGACAACTGCTGCCACTGGGTATCTTTCATCTCTTGCTTTGTTTCCCTCACTGGCAGAAGAGATGTGCTCTGAGTTGCTTTCTATAGGCCATTTGCTTTTTGAGATGTGCTGCTTTGATCTGCATTTAATGAATCTTATAAGCTTCCATTTAAATTGCCTAATTTGTAAATTTCAAAGATTAGCTTTGGGGAGTAGAACTATGGGACTGAGGCCCTCTTTCTTAAAATGACTCTGGATTATGGGTCTCATTCCAGATTGATCTGTGCATCTCAGATTTCATTGGGTGTGTTGATTCCAACATAAACCATGACTGGCACTATGCATTATGCTTAGGGAAATTACTCTTATCATGTGGCCACTGGTTGTGCATCTCAGACATTGGTTCACTCTTCCCCACCTGCCTGTGCAAGGGATTGAACCACTGAGCTACATCCCCAACACTTTCATTATCTATCTATCTATTTATTTATTTATTTTTGTGGTGCTGGGGCTTGAACCCAGGGCCTTGCACATGCTGGACAAATACTCTACAACTGAGGTACATCCCCTATCCTTTTTATTTTTTATTATGAGACAGGGTCTCTCCAAGTTGCTGAGGCTGACCTCGAACTTGTGATCTTTCTGCCTCAGTCTCCTGAGTCTCTGAGATTACATGCATGCACCATCACTCTCAGCCCACTGGCCTACATTCTATCAAGCTCAATGGAAAGAAGTATGCCCTTTGCAATATGTATGCCCCTCGGTTATTCATTTCTAGGAAGAGCAATTACCATATGTGATGCTGATTTAATGTTGCTAAAGGCAAATGTCTCTCTAGGACCCTGAAAAATGTTTTTGGTATTGCTTTTAACCATGACTCTGTTACAACAGACCTTCTGACCCTCAAGGTAATGAAGTTCATGGCATCTCTATGGCAGAACCAAGAGGTTAATTAATGCAAACATGAATTAAGCTTGGGACCCTTAACCACAGTAAAGCATTCACTGCTGTCGGGGAAGCCTCTAATTGTTCACAATGACTTGAGATTATCTGAAAGAAGAAATCAGTAAATACCAGCAGGGTTTAGAGCATACCCTGCAGTGTATCTACTATTCCTTTTAAAAATCTGGATATAAGAAGAAAATTTTTTTAAAAGAAGCTAAAAGGGAGATCCACAATTTGACATAATTGGAAAACCAACATGTACCAGAATAGCCAAAAAGTAAAAGAGTGTTGATTGTTTTTTATGCTTCTGGGTTCTGATTTAGTTTTAACATCTACTAAAATGCACCAATTGGTAAACCTTCATGATCTTAATCAGTACTAGGGCACAAAGTACAGCTATATCTGGGAATCCACTGAATTTAAACAAAATACTTCCTTTTTCTCTTAGGGCAGCTATAAAAAAATAGAGGCTATAGAAGTATATGCTTCACCTTAAACAAAAGAAATATTTCCTTGCCTAAATTTCCCATAATCATGATACCCATTTTCCTAAAATATCGTACAGCAGGCATGAATACTCTGACCCAATGAATAAAAAAAAAAAAAAAAAAAAAAGAAGCCTTTGGCAATAATAATCAACATTATTTAAAAAAAAAAAAAAACCCAGGGAATACCACGTATTCTGCAAGTTGGATAGTTAATATAGCCCAATGTAAGAAAAAACTCATTATGTATTATTATATACTATAACTCATTATTTGCTATTTAGAGAAGTGATTATCCACACTGCTTCTCCATTTAATAACCCTATTAGACCTGTTCTTAAACTTGGAAAAAAGAACGAATGGCGCCTCCCTGTGGATGTCCTAAACCTTGATGTTAAAGTTCACCCATTAAGGTCCTTATATTAGTTTTTATTGCTGCTATAAAAAAGCAACAATAACTTAGTAGCGTGAATTTATGCAAATGTATTATTTTAAAATTACAAAAGTCACAGGCTTATTATGAATGTCAGAGGTCAGGGAGTGGGGCTGGGAATGGGAAAGACAGTGTATTGAATCTGTCATAACTTTCCTATATTCACATATGAATACACAACCACATCATTTACCATCACAAGAATGGGAAGTTATACTCCATGTATGTATGCTATGTCAAAATACATTCTACTGTCATGTATACTAAAAAGAGCAAATAAACAACTTTTAAAAATCAATCAATAAATAATAGATCAGAGGTCACATCTCATTCCCTGAATCTGACAAAGCTACTGATTGACTGTCTCTACCCATATTAAAACAATTCCAACATCTTTAGTTATTTGGCGGTTCTGGAGACAACATGTTCCTTATTTAAGAATTTTATGGGCTGAAGTTGCAGCTTAGCAGTAGGATGCTTGCCTAACATGTGTGAGGCACTGGGTTCCATCCTCAGTACCACATAAAAATAAATAAATAAAATAAAGATATTGTGTCCATCTACAACCAAAAAAAAAATTTAAGAAATAATTTTATATAAGCCTACTTGTATTAATACTTCAAATCAGCCCACCTCAAATAGGACTCCTTTTATGGTTTGCATTCGTAATATGCCCCAAAGACTCGTGTGTTAAAGGCTTGGTCTGCAACGTAGCAATGTTCAGAGTTGTGGCTCTTGGGAAGTGATTGGATCATGAGAACTCTATGTCATCTCTGGATTAATCTATTGATGATTTAATAATTGGATGGAATTTTGGGGGAGGTTGTGGAAAATAGAGAATGTGGGGCCTACTTGGGGGAAGTAAGTTATTGGGCCTGTATCCTTGGGAACTATATCTTGTCTTTGGCCCCCTTCCTCTCCCTCTCCTCGCCTCTCTGCTTCTCAGGTGCCATGAGTTGAGCAGCATTACTGTTATGCCCTTCAGGCCTGAGCAACTCAGCAAAACCCTGTCTCTAAACAAAATATTTTAAAAAGGACTGGAGTTGTGGTGATGTGGCTCAGTGCTTAAGCATGCCTGGGTTGAGAGAGAGAGAGAGAGAAAGAGAATGAATTAACTACAGAAACCTGGTCTTCCTTGGTTTCTGTTAGCTCTGGAAAATTCTAGGTAAAGATGTTTTCAAGATGGAAGAATAGAGGAGGTCCCTTTACGGCTGCTTAGTGGCGTGAAGCCAAGAAAGCAGTTAGGCAGCTTCTCAGCAAGGTGGGTGAAAAAAAAATGGGGGCACTTTACTGGGAATCAATGTTGGACATTCAAAGCAGATCAGGGGCTCTGGAGGCTGGAGATGATAGGGAAGAAATCCCCAGCACCAGCACCACTACTGCCACTGCCGCCACCAGCACCTGCTGGAGCAGCCCCCGCTCGGCCAGCCAAGTGGAGGGACGAGGGAATTCAAGGAAGCCACAGTTTAGGAGGTGAACGGTGCGCCTGGGTGTGGAGAAAGCAGAGGAGACCAGAGACATTGCCGGACTAACCTGCAAGGCCTGCTTCACAATATCCTTGTGCTAGAAAGAAGCCACATCACTCCTGGAAGACTGTAAACGAGGAAGGAGCCCTTCTGTAGCTGCACCACAGGCCTGGACGCGGGGGAAGCAAACCTGACAACCCAAGCGGGGCACAAAATACAGACCTGTAAAATCCACACCACTAGACACAAAGAGTACCTAAGTGATGAAGAGAAAATCAGCTGGAGAAAGGGGTTTATATAGGGGAACACAGGTAGTGGTAACTCACCCAGGTCCGCCTCCCCCTTAACTCCAGCCACTTGCAGGACTGGCTGGGAGAGACACGCCCTCCCGGAATTCAAAAGGGAGGGGAAGGAGTGGGAGTGATTGAGTTTGGAGACTGAACCTGAGAGACCAGGAAACATGGGGTCTCTGGGTGACAGAGGTGACAAAGGATTTGCTTCTCTGCCACAGGAGTGGGACTCATGAGAGATTACTGGGGTGCAATCCCCCAGTGTGGACCAGCAACTGCTGGGCCTTGGAGGTGCGCTGAGTTAAAATCTTCAGACCAATCACCATTCAACAAAGAACCTGGAGCCTACCTAAGCATAAACCCAGCCTCCAGAAGCTCCACCTATGGGTTCTCCTCTCACATGCTAGTGAACCAACACTGAGGGTGGAGCAGAAATCACACTCCAGCTGGCGTCATTCCGTCCTGCGCGTCTCTTTAGGCAGCCACCCATTTTCCGTCCGCCTTCTCTCCCACCTAAGTGCRTGCTACCACCCCATGGAAGATTCGATGGATATGGACATGAGCCCCCTGAGGCCCCAGAACTACCTTTTCGGTTGTGAGCTAAAAGCTGACAAAGATTATCACTGTAAGGTGGATAATGATGAAAATGAGCACCAGTTATCATTAAGAACGGTCAGTTTAGGGGCTGGTGCAAAGGATGAATTGCATATTGTTGAAGCAGAGGCAATGAATTATGAAGGCAGTCCAATTAAAGTAACACTGGCAACATTGAAAATGTCAGTACAGCCAACGGTTTCCCTTGGGGGCTTTGAAATCACACCACCTGTGGTCTTAAGGTTGAAGTGCGGTTCAGGGCCTGTGCATATTAGTGGCCAGCACTTAGTAGCTGTGGAGGAAGATGCAGAGTCAGAAGAT